GGTTCAAGACCCGCCTGGGCAACTTGGCGAGACCTCATCTCTACAATAAATAAAAAATTAGCTGGGTATGGTAGCGCGTGCCTGTAGTTCCGGCTACTTGGAAGGCTAAGTGGAAAGATTGCCGGAGCCCAGCAGGTTGAGGCTGCGGTGGCCAGGAGCATGCCCCTGCACTCCAGTCTGGGCGACTGAGTGAGACTCCAACTAAAAAAAAAAAGTAACAGCCATCCTAACAGATGTGAGGTGGTATCTGACTGTGGTTTTGATTTTTGCTTCCCTGGTGATTAGAGGTGTTGGACTCCTTTTCTTTTTCTTTTTTGAGTTGGAGTCTCACTCTGTCGCCCAGGCTGGAGTGCAGTGGCACGCTCACAGCCACCGCAGCCTCGACCTGCTAGGCTCAGGAGATCCTTCTGGCTCAGCCTTCCAAGTAGCTGGATCTATAGGCATGCACCACCACGCCCGGCTAATTTTTTGATTTATTGTAGAGATGAGGTCTCGCCAAGTTGCCTAGGCTGGTCTCAAACCGGTGGACTTAGGCAATCCTCTCACCTCGGCCTCCAAAGTGCTGGGACTATAGGCGTGAGCCACCGTGCCTGGCCAGGGCACCTTTCTATATACAGTAGGCTTTCTGTATCCACAGGTTCTGCAGATCAGAAACATTTGGAAAAAATAATAAAAATAACAATGCAGCAATAAAAATGTAAATTAAAAACAACACAGCATGACAACTATGTATATAGCATCTACATTGTATTAGGGATTATAAGCAATCTAGAGATAATTTAAAGTATGCTGTGGATGTGCATAGGTTATATGCCAATACTATGTCATTTTATATAAAGGACTTGAGCATCTATGGATTTTGTTTGTTTTGAGTCGAAGTCTCTCTCTGTCATCCAGACTGGGGTGCAGCAGAACGCTGCTCAGGATCACTGCAGCCTCTTGCTGGGCTCAGCCACTTGCTGGGCTCAGGTGATTCTTCCGCCTCAGCCTTCCAAGTAGCTGGAACTACAGGTGTGCACGACTAGGCCCAGCTAATTTTTCTTGATTTATTGTAGAGATGAGGTCTCACCAAGTTGCCCGGGCTGGTCTCAAACCCCTGGGCTCAGGCAATCCTCTTGTCTCAGCATCCCAAAGTGCTGTGATTATAGGCTTGAGCCACTATGCCTTGCTATCTATGGATGTTGGTATCTGCAGGGGGTTAAGGGGAGGGAGGAGTCCTGGAACCCATCTCTCACGGATACCAAGGGATGAGTGTACCTCTTGACCATTTCTATGTCTTCTTTCTAGAAATGTCTATCAGGTCCTCTGCCTGTTTTTAATTGGGTTATTTGGTGTTTTGCTATTCAGTTGCAGAAATTCCTGTATATGTTGAATGCGAACCCCTTATCAGATGTATGGCTTGCAACTATATTCTTTCATTCTGTAGGTTACCTTCCTTTGCTCTGCAGAAACTTTTTGGTTTGCTGTAATCCCACTTATTTTTGCGTTTGTTGCCTGTGTGTTTGCTGTCATACCCCCAAAATCATTGCCAAGAACAGTGTCAAGGATCTTCTCCCCAATGCTTTTGTCTAGGAGTTTCATGGTTTCAGTGAGCTCCATTATATTTATCTATTCATTAGTTTGTGGACAGCTAGATTGATTCCACCCTTTGACAATAATGAATAATGCTGCTCTGGACATTCTCCTATATGTTTTGTGTACTGTAAGTCTTGTGCCCTAAAAAAGAAGAAAGTCTTAGATCTATTCTAGAAGTACAATTTCTGGGTCATATGGTAACTCTATGTTTAATCTTTTCAAACTGTTTTCTAAAGCAGCTGCACCATTCTACATTTCCATAGCAAAGTAGCGTGTGAGGATTCCAGTGTTTCCACATCCTCCTCAACACTTGCTGTTGTTCTTGTTCGTTGATGACAGCCTTCCTAGCAGGTGTGAGGATAACTCATTGCAGTTCTGACTTGCATTTCCTCAGTGGCTAATGATGTTCGGCATCTTTTCCTGTGCTTGTTGGTCATTTGTATGTCTTGTTTGGAAAAATGTCGATTAAAATCTTATGTCCATTTTTATGTTCTTTGTATATTCTATTTACAAGTACCTTATCAGATATATGATTTGCAAAAATGTGCTCCTATTCTTTTCACTCATATCTTTTTGTTTGTTTGTTTGTTTGTTTGTTTTTTGAGTTGAAGTCTCACTCCATCGCTCAGGTTGGAGTGCAGTGGCTCGCTCATGGCCACCCCAGTGTCGACCTGCTGGGTTTCAGCAATCCTTCCACCCCAGCCTTCCAAGTAGCTGGAACTACAGGCACGTGCTGCCACTCCCAGCTAATTTTTTTGATTTATTATAGGGACGAGGTCTCCCCAAGATGCCCGGGCTGGTCTCAAACCCGCAGGCTCAGGCAATCTCCTCGCCTTGGCCTCCCAAAAATGCTTGAATTGCAGGCTGTATCACCGAGCCTGGCTGATATCTTTTTTTTGTCTTGATGGGGTCCTTAGAAGCACAAACATTTTTATTTTCATAATGTCCAATTAACCTATTTTTTATTTTGTCGCGTGTGCTTTTGTCCTCATACCTAAGTATCCATTGTCTTATCCAAGGTCAAAAAGATTTATACCTGTATTTTCTTCTAAGTGTCTTCAGATCCTGGTTTCTAATATCATTTTCCAATAAAAGGAACCAAGAATCCTTAGAGAAATGACTGATTCTAGGACTGGAACAAAGAATATACAAGATAATCCTGTTGAATTAGATTCACCATCTGAACAAAGCAAGAATGATATCTGAACAAAGCAAGAATGATATTGGCCATGCATTCAGAGATTCTTGTCATTGATTTCTAAGGCTTGGGAGAAGGAAGAGGGTCGCATGACTTGGTCTCTAGTTGTTTCCTCCATTTGTTGGTGATCACTGCATCTGTCCTCATTTGCTCAAAACTTCTTTTAGTACCCAAATAACTTTTTCTTTCATAATGCCTTAAAAAGAACGAATCCAGAGCAGAGTTGACTGCATCATGCCGTGGCATTGCCTACAACATTCAGGGACAACTGCTTTAGAGCCAAGGGCTGCTCCACATCCAAGAGAACATCAGTGTTGTCTCTTGATGCCTCATATTCATGCCCACTTCACCCACGGTGATGTGATTTGTCCCCATCAAAACTCGTGTTGAAATTTTTTTTTTTTTTAAGTTGGAGTCTCACTCGGTCGCCCAGACTGAAGTGCAGTGGCTGCTCCCGGCCACCGCAGCCTCGACCTGCTGGGCTCTGGCGATCCTTCTGCCTTAGCCTTCCAAGTAGCTGGAACTACAGCCATGCGCTACCACACCCGGTTAATTTTTTGATTTATTGTAGAGATGAGGTCTCTCCAGTTGCCCAGGCGGGTCTCGAACCCGCGGGCTCAGGCAATCCACTCACCTTAGCCTCCCAAGGCACAGGATTACAGGCTGAGCCACCGAGCCCGGCTTGTGTTGAAATTTAATTGCAGCCAGGCGTGGTGGCTCATGCTTTTAATCCCAGCAGTTTGGGAGGTGGAGGTGAGAGAATTGCCCCAACACAAGGGTTCGAGACCAACCTGGGAAACTTGGCAAGAAATTGTCTCTACAATAAATTTTTAAAAAAATTGTCAGGCATGGTGGTGTGCACCTGTAGTTCCAGCTACTTGGAAGACTGAAACGGAAGGATTGCCTGAGCCCAGTAGGTCGAGGCTGCAGTGGTCATGAGAGTGCCACTGCACTCCAGCCTGGGTGACAGAGTAAGACTCGGACTCAAAAAAAAAAAAAAAGAATTTAATTGTCAGTGTAATGGTGTTGGGAGGTAGTACCTTTAATGTCAAAAGACTGAGTTAGTTCTCACAGAAATTGATTAGTTCCCACAAGAGTATGTTGTAAAGAGAGGTTGTCTCCTGTGTTTTTGGTCTTTTTTCCTCACACATCTTCAGTTTCAAATATTCAGAATTTAAGGCCAGACTCAGTGGCTCACGCCTGCAATCCCAGCACTTTGGGAGGCTGAGACAGGAGGATTGCTCAAGACCAGGAGTTTTGAGACCAGCCTGGACAACACAGCAAGATCCTGTCTCTATAAAAAAAATTTAAAAAAATTATGGGCTCGGTGGCTCAGCCTGTAATCCTGTGCCTTTGGGAGGCTGAGGTGAGTGGATTGCCTGAGCCTGCAAATTCAAGACCCGCCTGGGCAGGCGAGACCTCATTTCTACAATAAATTAAAAAAAAAAAAAAAATTAGCTGGGTGTGGTAGCATGAGCCTGTAGTTCCAGCTACTTGGAAGGCTGAGGCAGAAGGATCGCCGGAGCCCAGCAGGTCGAGGCTGCGGTGGCCGGGAGTGGCCACTGCACTCCAGTCTGGGCAACAGAGTGAGACCCTGACTCAAAAAAAAAAAAAAAAAAAAGTTCAGAAGTTGAAATGAAGTTTCATCAGAGTCAGTGTTTATTTACCAACTTAAGTAACTTGGTGCTTAGATAAGTCATCGCTAGATTGGGGATTATAAGAATTTGATTTCAGAAGAACCAGCATTCACACCTCTGTGTAAACGTTCATTTCTTTATTTTTTATTTATTTATTTATTTATTGAGTTGGAGTCTCACTCTGTCCCCCAGACGAGTGCAGTGGCCGCTCCCGGCCACTGCAGCCTCGGCCTGCTGGGCTCCGGTTATCCTTCCGCCTCAGCCTTCCAAGTAGCTGGAACTACAGGTGAGCTACCACGCCTGGCTGAATTTTGATTTATTGTAGAGATGAGGTCTTGCCAAGTTGCCCAGGCAGGTCTCGACCCCGCGGGCTCAGGCAATCCACTCATCTCAGCCTCCCAAGGCACGAGATTACAGCGACTGTCTTTAAAGGCGCTGTGGGCCTCGGGGGCGGTGCCCAGCAGGCTCACGCGGGGGCGTCCAGGCAGACGAAGTGTCCCTGTCGTGGGCTGAGTCTGTCCCCAGAGTTCGCGATTACAGCCCTGACCCCACGACCTTGGGACGTGACGGTGTCAGGAGACGGGCGTCAAGAGGAGATTGAGGCCGGATGCAGGCACGAGGCGGCCGGGGTCCTCACGGAAAGACGGGGCCACAGATACAGAGGGATGATCGTGGGGACACGGAGGAGACATCGTGCCCATGGAGACAGGAGATCCACGGGTACGACGAGCTCAGAGGCACCCGGGCCTTGACTTCGGCCTCCAGGCCATGGCTCTGCACCGTCTCCTGTGGACACGCGTGTCTTCGAGGCCAAGGGGCGTGGTAGCCAGGCGTCGGAGGGCAGCCTCTGTCCGTCGAGCCCCCGATGCGCCCAGCCAGGAGCCCGTCCGCGGCTCCCGGTGGGTGACCCTGGCTCGGCCTGCAGGACCAGACGGGGCGGGAGCCTGCGTGCCGGCCGGGGACAGGGCCGGGGCTGCCGCGCCCCCCTCACCGGCTGCCTTCTTTTGCAGCCATCTCCACGCGGATGATCGCGAGGATCTTCTCGGGAGCCGGGACGCAGTACGTGGGGCCAGGCCAGGCCGGGCCCAACATGCCACAGCCGTGACCTGCGCCGTCCCTGTCATGGGAGCTTGGCGTGGTTCTGTGTGTCATGCACGGTGCCAAGGGGACATGCCACTGGGTCTGGGCCTCGTCCCTGGAGGACGCCAGCCCGGGGCCCCGCGGGGACCCCGGCGGGGGGCGCCCTCCCTGACGGCATCCCCTGTGTCTCGCCGGCCCAGAACCCAGAGGCGGGAAAGCGCAGAAGGCCGGCCGAATCAGCTAGCCAACTTCCTCTGGTTCCTGATCTCTGAGGAAGACAAGAAGACCCTGACCAGGTGGGGGCGGCCGTGGGAGTCTCCCGCGCTGGGGGAAGGGGCCGTGCTAAGCGGTTGGCCCGAGGGGGCTCGTTCCTGAGGGGCTCTGGTATGGGAGGGCCCTTCCCGGGGGTCCGTCCCCAGGCGTCCGTCCTTGGACCCTTCCCCGGGAGTCCATCCTAGGTGGGGTCGCCCTGAGGCCGGCATGACAGTGACCGCCGCTGCCGGCCCGGCCTGTCCAGCATCGAGTACTGGTTCCGCTGCATGGGCCTGGACGGGGACGAGGCGCTGTCCATGTTTGAGCTGGAGTACTTCTACGACGAGCAGTGCCGCTGGCTGGACAGCATGGCCATCGGGGCGCTGCCCTTCCAGGACTGCCTCTGCCAGATGCTGGACCTGGTCAAGCCCCAGAGCGAGGGTACGCGGGGGGGCGCCGGTGGGGCAGGAACGCTGGTCACTGAGGGCGCAGCCCGGGAGGGGACGTCCGGGGGGAGGGGTGTCTAGGGAAGGGGGACGTCAGGGAGAGGGGATGTCCAGGGAGGGGGGCATCAGGGGAGAAGAGAAGTCCGGGGTAGAAGATGTTCAGAGAGACAGGTCATCCAGGGTGGGGGTTGTTCAGGGAGGAGGGGTGTCCAGGGATGGGGGTGGCCAGAGAAAGGGGGTCCCCAGGGTGGGGGACATCCAGGGAGGAGGGGTGTCCAGGGAGAGGGGACGCCCAGGGAAAGCGGTCATCCAGGGAACAGGTCGTTCAGGGAGAGGGGTCGTCCGGGGTGGTGTCGTCCAGGGAGAAGGGGTGCCCAGGGAGAGGAATATCCAGGGTGGGGGACATCCAGGGAGGAGGGGACACCCAGTGAGAGGCATCATCCAGGAAACGGGATGTTCAGGGAGAGGAGTCATCCAGGGTGGGGGTCGTCCAGGGAGGAGGGGTGTCCAGGAAGAGGGGACATCCAGGGTGGGAGACGTCCAGGGAGGAGGGGTGTCCAGGGAAAGGAGAAGTCTGGGGTAGGGGACATCCAGGGAGAGGGGACGTCTATGGTGGGAGACGTCCAGGGAGTGGTGTTTTCCAGGGTGGCGGTCATTCAGGGAGGAGGGGCATCCAAGAAGGGGGGCATCTGGGGAGAGGGGACGTCCAGGGTGGGGGATATCCAGGGAAGGGGACATCCAGAGAAAGGTGTCATCCAGGGAGGCGGGGTATCCAGGGAAGGGGATGTCCAGGTGAGCCCCACATGTGCATGGACTCAGTGTTGGGAGACTATCCCGTGTGAAGGTGGCCCGTCCCGTGTGAGGACCTGTCGTATGGGGGTCCTCCTCCCCCCTGCTCCCCGTCCTCCTCCCCCTCCCACTCCCTGTTCCCCTCCCCCAGGTGCTGTCCTTATGACAGGGGACGCTTGTCGGGCCCATCCATGCTGCCTTTGGGACAATGCCCAGTCACAGTGTGCATGCGCTGTCGTCACGTGAGGGCCTCGCGCTAGGACGTCAGCCCCCCCACGTGACCCCGTGTCCCTGGAGACACGAGCGAGGCGCACCACCCTGTCTGCGTTCACCCACCACGGCCCCCGCTCGCATGCTCAGCAGGCTCTGAAGTCAGAGGGAGGAGAAGGCCCCCAGCTCTGCCAGGCGACGGCCCCTGCCGTGTCCGGCTGGCCGTGTCCAGGGTCTGCAGCCCAGCCCCCGCCCCACCTCGTTCCCCCCACCCGTCCTTCCTGTGACCCCTCCCTGCCACAGGCTGAGCTCGGAGTCGCCCGCCTTGGTCCTGGCCACCCTGGTGGCTGGCCTCCTGGCCGGCCAGGCTCCCTGCTCTCCAGGATGGTGCTGGGGGTTCCCCTTGGCATGACCCCAAGAGCCTGCCGCCGTCCCCGCAGGCAGGATCACCCTGAGTGACCTGAAGCGCTGCCAGCTGGCCCACGTGTTCTTCGACACATTCTTCAACGTCAAGAAATACCTGGACCACGAACAGAAGGAGTAGGCCTCTGGGCTCAGGGTGAGTGCCGTGCTGGGGGGCCACCATGCCCGGGTCCGGGGGACCCACCTCCACCCGTAATGCGCGTGTGTCCTCCCCACCCCCAGGAGAGTGATGGCAACAGCCCCGAGCTCTTGGACTGGGAGAAATACGAGGCCGAGGAGTACGACATCCTGGTGGGCGAGGAGGTGGCCGGGGAGCCCTGGGACGATGGGTGAGTGGGGGACATGGGATGCGGGTGCTCGCGGGGTGCCAGGAGGGGACGTCGGCCGGCGGGGAGGGGTGGAGTATGCGGCTGGGCGGGGGTCTCCACGTGGGTCACCAGTCTCGCCGGGACCGTCTATCCCACCCTGTCTTCCTCCCAGAGAGGCCGAGAGCGCTCGCCTACAGGGGGACTCGGAGCCAGGACCCTGGGTTTGGCCCAAGGGGCATGCTGTGACATGTCTCCCATCCCTATCCCCTTCTCCGGCCGTGCTCCGGCAATGCCGCCCACCGGTGAGACCCTGGGGACGGGCAGCCTGTCGTTCCCGTGAGGTGTGGCCTGGCCCCACACCAAGGTGGACTTCCACGGGGTGTGTCGGCTCACGTGTGGTGGGCAGGTCCATGGTCGGTGTCGGGAAGCTTCCGCCGTGGGCGTGAGCCGAGGACACAGGTCCCTGGTGGCCCGTGGGTGTCCACCTGCTCCAGCAGCGTGGCTGCCAAGCTTTCCCACTGCCCGGGGTCACGGAACGTGGCTTCCCACATGGCAATCTTGAAATAAGCTCGCTTGTTTTTACAAAAGATTCTGCAGAAACGTTTGGATGAAGGGGGTGGTTTTGGGAGTCGGGGTCTCACAGTGTCATCCTGGCTGTGGTGACAGCTCACCTCGACTTCCTGGGCTCCAGCGATCCTCCTGCCTCAGCCTCCCAAGTCCCTGGGACAACCGGCACACACCACCACGCCCAGCTCATTTTTTTTTTTTTTATTTGGAGTCTCACTTTGTCGCCCAGATTGGATTGCAGTAGCCGCTCCTGGCCACCGCTGCCTTGACCTACTGGGCTCCGGCGATTCTTCCGGCCTCAGCCTTCCGAGTAGCTGGAACTACAGGCACGCACTACCACGCCTGGCTAATTTTTGATTTATTGTAGAGATGAGGTCTTGCCAAGTTGCCCAAGTTGCCAAGTTGCCCAAGTTGCCAAGTTGCTCAGGCGGGTCACGAACCCGCGGGCTCAGGTAATCCATTCACCTCAGCCTCCCAAAGTGCTGGGATGACCGGCTGAGCCACTGAGCCCGGCCCCTGTGTCCTCTCACATGGGCATGTGGTCCTCCCCTTCTGGCCTCCCCCGCCCAGGTCCATCCTTCCTCGTGCTCTGCATGGGTGTCCCTGACGCACCTGACTGCCGCGATCCCCACTCCGAGACCCTCCTCCCTCCCTCCTGCATGTCTGTGGCCACCGGACGCACCCTGTGCGTGTCCCCAGACGTCTGTCCACCCACCTTCCACATCCTTCCTCACGTCGGCCGTGACTCAGTTTTTCCCAGGGCATGGGCACTGGTTGCTTTCACCGTGGCTGCCGTGGTCACTGTGGCCACCATGGCCACGTTCCCTCCTGTCCCTTCAGTGGGTGGCTTGAGCCCATGGGGGCTGCAGAGACCACTGAGCCCCTGATGGCCTCAGAGGGAGTGGACCCCAGCAGATCTGGAAAAGGGCCCACAGCCGGTGGCTTTACTGGCCACAGACGCTGTCTGACGTCCCCATGTGGAAACTTACATACCTGGCATCTCCAGAAAGGGACGTCACGGCCCTGTGGGCAACGGCTGCTCTGTCCATGGCGGCCTGGGCGGGTCATGGTGCCCCGCGGGAGTCTGAGCCACACCGATTCCCTTCCCACGGGCACTGTGCCCCATCGCACGGACCTTCACCCTCCGTGGGGCGTGGGACGGAACTGGCCGGTGTCGCTCAGGCCCGTCTGGGTGGCAGGAGGTGCCGGCCCCGCCCTGCCTGGGCGTCCACCTGCCCCCCCCTCGTGTCCACCCCTCGCCGTGAACCGGGCAGGCTCTTGGGGACGCGTGGCCTCGGGTGTGTCTGGGAGGGGACATCCCACAGGCGCTGTCCTGCATCCTTACTGCGCCCGTTGCAGCTTTGAGGCCAAGCTGAGCCCCGTGGAGATGCTGAGCGCGCTGCGCTCCCCACTGGCCCAGAGGCCCTTCCTCGACGCGCCGCAGGTCCTGGGCGCCATAGACATGTATGAGTGTGCAGACGACGACTGGCAGCTACTGTGACCCCGTGGGACTGGTGTGGGTGTGTGGTGGCCGCAGGCCACGCAGCCCTGGACGGTGGGAGCGCGTGCATGTGTGGAGTGGCAGATTTTGTATTTATCCACAGAGGCGCGTCCGGCCTTTGTGCCTGGGCACGTGCCATCGCCTCGGCTCTGGCCGGGCCTGGCATCATCACGGGCGTCCCCAGGACAGCGAGCCGCTGGGTGGTCCCCGCAGCGATGCCTCTAGCGAAGTGAAGTATCGATGCCCCTTGTCCCCCTGGGGCCGCATCTCCCGGAGTGTCCCTGCCGATGTCGGGGATCCCCTTGGCTCCTGGGCACTGGGCACGTCCTGCAGCGTGGACACGCCACGGGCACCCCACACACCGCTCGCCTGCCAGTCACTGCCGTCCTGACACGAAGCCACAGGCGCCACCACCACGGCTGCAAACGTATCCACGAGGCACACAGGAGAGGACGCTTGCCCGCCCTGTGGCACGCATTGTGTCTCGGGCGTCATGTGTGTGTCTCTGAGGGCCCGTGCATGGTTTTGCACACCTCCGCACTGGAGGCGGAGACAGGAGGCTTGTTCGAGGCCGGGGCTCAGAGGTGGCAGTGGGCTGCGACGGCCAGCCATGGAGCAGGACCCCGTTTCTTTTTTTTTTTTTTTTT